CTCTGTTGTCACCTCCCTGGTCAGAGTTCTGGCCGCTGGAAGTTTTTCAATAAAGTACTCCCGGTTATTTTCCGGGGCAACAAAACTGTGCGTTTTTACGTGAAAAAATGATTTACGTTTCAAAGCTTGATTAATTTACCACACAAAAAACACGCCGGTCAAAATTCATACCTCAGTTTTAATCGGCACTATTTTCTATCCATTTCTATCAATCCGCGCTGCTGCTGTCAACGTCAACAGTGCGCACGTTCCGATCAGCTGTTCCATAGTGTTTACACAATCGATTGACAACGACGTAAAAAGTATTAAATTAACAATTTAAAGTGCGAACTTGTAAATTCCCAGGCTGTGACCACAAGGATGTGCCGGGATCAAAGTTCAGATTCCATCGTTTTCCTGTTTCGAATATAACTGGAGACAGCTTACCGAGCATAATCTCCATCTGCTGTTAGTCAACCTCACCAGCAGGGGGTGCAAGCGCGTGTTGTTGGCTGGTTGCCATCGGCTACTCTGCGGGAGCTAAAATATCCAGAATAAAGGATTTTCGTGTGCGTAGTGCTCACTTCAGCGAAGACGATTACATCCCCAACCAAGGAGGAAAAGGAAAATTAAAGAGTTTTGCTGTACCAGTAGGCATACCACGGGTAAGCTCTATTTACTAACTTTATGATCCCATGTCTAAACTGTACGGTAAACAAGCTGATGTTTAGACTCCATTATAAAACACGTGAAAAGATGTCTAATATAAAAACAGTATATAGGGATATTGGTACAATTTGTTGAGAAAACTATTTGATTGAACACACACAATTGAGGTTTTGTGTTGCAATCAATAACATTGTCGTTGTGCTAAAATTACTTTCATCATCTGATCCGTCTGACATTGTGCTAAAATTGGTTTCATCATCAGAAGTTTCGCAGTCAGACATGTTGTCAGCGAGTCGCGCTATCAACAGCTGATCGGAACGTGCGCACTGTTGACGTTGACAGCAGCGCGGATTGATAAATGGATAGAAAATAGTGCCGATTAAAACTGAGGTATGAATTTTGACCGGCGTGTTTTTTGTGTGGTAAATTAATCAAGCTTTGAAACGCAAATCATTTTTTCACGTAAAAACGCACAGTTTTGTGGCCCCGGAAAATAACTGGGAGTACTTTATTGAAAAACTTCCAGCGGCCAGAACTCTGACCAGGGAGGTGACAACAGAGTGGGTCAGTGTGTATGCACTATAGTGCTGGTAAGGATTGCATACAACTTCATGTCTTAAATGGGCGAACTAACCCTTTAACATCTACTCTCGTGTAATGGAAATCATGCAGCTATAGCGCACGGAGGGGATTTTGAATTAATATTCATGTCGATTTACAATGGTTACATACTGTTAATACTAATCCTGCTATTGATATCTTTGTAAGACTGCCGATCGGAAAACAAATTTCCGGTGATTGTGAATACCGAACCTAACTTTACCGCGCTCAACCACCGTACGTGCATTTCAACTTGTGAATGCCCTTGGCGCCGACCCAAGTGTTACTAAGTGCTAATGTGGATTCCTGTCTAGATATGTAATAAACTAGCCTGACTTCGTCATACTCATATTCTAGTCAGAATGTGAGTCTGATACTGCTCCATAGGGCTTTGATTATGAGGCGTGTCTTAACCGAACCAGGAAAAAAACAACTCTGCACTCAATTGGATAGACCTACAACCAATGAGAGGAACGCAATAAGTCAACTACTTTGCATAGCACAGTTGTCAACTACAGAACTCAAATGCACGCACGCTGGAAGAAGTAAAATAATGAGTGTTGCTTCTTTTACTTGGCCCTCTATGAGTGCGACCAAAGGAGAAACCACAACGACCACAGGGTTTTCATTGCGTCCCATCTTCTTAGTTACCATCGGAGCCAGCTGATAAATTAAACTTTTGCCGAATCCCATAGGAAGGACGGCAAACACATCTTTCCGATCGACAAATGCCTTGATTGCAGTTCTATTTTCGTCTTTTAAAATGAATGCGCTGTCGATTTCTTTTACAACGCACGCGATAGCGGAATCTCTACATCTCAGTTCTCCAGCAGCAGTCATCTGTGAGGGAAACCAGTTCAACCCAAGCGCTCTTTGATAACGTGAGGATTACGTCCCTGCAGATCATCTGTCCATCATCGTATAAAGCCCGCCCTGGAATTTGATTGGCCCGACGATTTCTGAACGGATCATAATTACTCCTCAATGGAGCGAGTCCAGACCGAACTTCCCGATCAAAAAATGTTGTGGGCGGGGTTCGGGCTGGCATCCAGGCTAGTAATAAACATTTAGCAAAGGAAAACCTCAAGGTGTTTATTATAGATAAAGTAAGACAGTAACTTTTTCCTCAGCTGTAGGCAAAGGCAAGCGCATTTCAAATCAGTGCTTCCCCCGGGAGACTAGCGCTAAATTAATCCCCTATTTTAGCGCCATCTACTGTTTTAGAAGAGGAAGTTACTCATCTGCATTTGTGAGAAAATCTGCCTGGACACATTTGTGAGAAAATTGAGCTGAGAGATCTCACAATCATAACAGACAGATATGCATTTGTATGCTCTAGATTTGGTATTTGTTCAAAGCAAAGGTTACATGCAATTTGTAGGATGGTTTGTATTTGTTTGTGAAATCAAGGATCATTTATTTATATTTGTAAAACACAATATTGGTTACTCCACTGCATTTTCGCTCAAATTGACCTTTGTTTTTGCAAATTGCTTTCTGTTTGTTTGTGAGTCGAGCTTTCCTTTGCAAAGCAGATCGAGTTTGTTTGCAAAATGCTGGATTTGTTTGTTTAATTTTGGCACATAATTCGCTCCATAGCTGACATATTCATGATTGGATTAGTTCACTATTATGAGCTCTATTGAGTGTCAGTTCAATATGTCTCAGACTTCAAATACCTACCTTTAAGTTCTTCCAGAAAGATTCGGGAGGCAAAATACCGTAACAAGTACAGTATACATTTATTAACAGCCCAGCAAGAAAATATTATAATATAAAGTTCTTTGGCGTAGGCCCAGTCAGTGTCTTGCAATCCGAGGGTACGGACTCTGCATTTCCTGCCTGAAGACGAAGGCAGAGGCGCAGCCGACCCCCTGTGAGGTATGGGAAGGGACCATCTTGGTGGTGGTGGGGAGAATGGAGGTGAATGAAAGCGTCAGCATCTGCGAACTCAGACATGTGTAAGTACCAATCTTTTATACTACAAGTATTAGAACACGATTGGATAGATGAAAAGGTAATAAGTGACAATTATCAATTGAGTCTTCCGCTAAAGCTTTCATTTACAGTAGCCTGAGGAGAACTTCTCTTTAGGATAGGAATATAAACATTGATGCTTTCTTGTCGAAAACAGTTTGCATCTTTAATGAAGACATTGGCTGCATTTATGTTGCATTAAGCACAAAACCACATCTTCCAGATTACAATGTTTGTTAGCAGACTGATCTCATGAAATGGCGTATGTATGACACGCCAATTCGTATTTCCATTTTTGGCGTGCTATCAACACGCATAATCGCTTTTCAGCGTGTTTATCAACGCCTTTGACTTAACGTTATATTAATGTATTATGTATATATAAATATATGACCTACCCCAACCCCGTCACTGGGGTTAATACCATTTATGAGTCTTCTCCTACCATCCATTCCAAAAGAAATATCGCTCCACAGATGTAGATATAGATTTTGCTTCGTTTCGCTCGGACATTTACCGGCGTACACATACACGCGGAATCACTCGGACATTTAATGGCGTAGACATACACGCAAAAGATTTCGGCGTGGACATACACGCGGATAGCTCAAAATGCGTATAGATAACACGCCACTTGACTTGAAAGTGGCGTGTATGTTTAAGCAAAGTCATGATGTCATGTTGTTGTTAGAATATCACTATTGCCTCACAGAAATGTATGCCTGTACAGTATGTGTCAAATATAAAATTAAATAACTTTTTGTGAATTGTGAAAAACATGTTAATTCTTCACTAATTACTCAAGCGTTACCTTGTCATCCCGCAGGAACTACTAGTGACAAGGACCATTATTTTAAAGTGAAAAACATGTTAACCCTGCAGGAATTGTGCAGCATAAAAAAACTGGAGTGATTGGGTCCAAATTTTTTTTTATTATAAGCACTGAAACATTTCCATTAGATCAGAAAAGAAAATCCTACGTAATGCACAACTGGGCATGCAAGAATAAAGCACTGTGTAAAATATGATGTCTGAATTAAACCTAAAATTTGGCACATTTGTGAAACAGATGAGAGAACTGAGCGCCACAGTAATATCTCCTACAAAGACATGCACATACACACCAAGCACACATATGCTCACCCCCACACAGGTACAAGCAATTTATTTTTTAGCATACTCCAAATTATTATATAAATTACTACAAACTATGTATTGTCTTCTGATATCTTTTAGCAAACGTTAATTTATCTCATCCTATTGCCTCTCAACACATACATGCTTAATTACACATACTTGATTACACAGGCCCTTATCACCGGTTTACTTTACTACCATTGTGTACTTGTCCCACTGCAAACAGTATATTGCCCTCTAGTGGGAGTAGCAAAAAATATGAATGCAAAAAATCTCTTCCATGTTGTTGTTGTTTTATCTTAAATATTTGCCTTGTTAACATGTACTTTTCTATGCAATTGTGAAACTTTGTATTAATGCACTGTATTGATATTTAAGAGATACAAAGGAAGATTTGAAGTGCTTTTGTACTTTTTAGAGCTCTTTGTATGCATTGAATGTAACAAGAGCAATTCAGAGATTTTTCACAATATCTTGTTTCAAAAGAGGGTAAGTAAATGATGACAGAATGTACATTTCTGTCTGTGTTATCTCAGATATAGATATAGATGAATTCAGAATTGTGTTCCAGTGTGAAACAGAAACTCATTTCAAACTGTGGTCTATGAATCAGAGACCTAATCATTTATTTTCATCTGTCATTGGGTGTATTTATCTAAACTCTCGATAGCCTGCTCTTTTGAGTATTGGCTCCAATCATATGAAATGTAATCCCACCTGTGGAACGTTTTCTCAAAGCGTTTTTTCAGATCTTTTTGAAATCTGCACACAAACCACTTCCAGTATGGCAGCTCAGAGAACTCAGGGGTGATGCTCCACTCTGCATAAACATTTCCTGCTTTTCTATATTCTCTACATGGAATCCACTGACCTATATAAAACTTTTTATAAGTTTTCACTAAAGATGTACAAAAATCTGAACTGAGATACTCTGTTTCCTCATAACAGCACCCAGTGAGACCATTTACTCGATGGAAAGGAACGCTGTGATCTCCAGTATGGTTTTCTACAGTGTTAGTGCAAGTGGCTGCACAGAACGGACACTGAACCCAGCAGCACTGACAGAGATGATCAGTCAGAATCTCATCGGGTCTGTCCTTGTGTTCCAGATTTTCTGGAAATGTCTCTTTGCTGAATTTATGTTGTATTTCAAATAATACTGAACCAAGTTCTTCGTGTATCACATCTTCTAGGACATTGAAATCATCAACACCATCATGACTCACTCCACTGAGGTCCTTTACAGAGAATATCAGCACATCTGAAAGCTGCAGTGTGAAGTAATTTAGCCACTTCTGAACATCTCCGCTGGTCGTGTTGACCCGTGTAGTTGCTCGGTGAGCCGCTGCCATGATCTTCTGTTGCAGGAGTTCAATGTTCTCCTTCATCTTGGGCCGAACACGGACTCCGAAGTTATCAGTTATGTACTGATTGACTTCATCTCTGATGAAACTCTTGAAGTGATCTTTGGGACTGTCAAAGTATTTAATGAATTTGTCAAAATCCTCCTCTTCTGCCAGAGTCTTTAGGATGTGTTTCTCTAGTTTTGATCTGTTTCCATTTAGCGATTCACAGTTTGTTTTAATTTCATTAGTCAAATCTCTGGCAGTATCTTTGTAGACACTCTTTTGAATTGGCTCTTTCAGTTTCTGACAGATGATCTCAGCAAAAATGGCAGCTGATGTTGCACCTTGACAGTATTTCTGGAAAATACTATAGTACTCTTTGCTCTTCTTTTCAAAGTAGAAAACAGGATCGTTGGCTTCCCTGAACTTTCTGTGCTGGTCAGTAATTAATTTGTTTTCTCTCTTACATATGGACATGACCAAAACCATGTAAAATTCCTTTGTGAACACATACTTTACAGTACCTTCTTCATAAAGCACTACTTCTGTCTTAATGTGATCTGCAAGTTCTTGAATGTAGCTTTTGTTGTAGCCCATCTTTGAAATGTTATATGACGTGATCATTTTATCTACATGTTGAGCAATGTCATTAACCAAGTTTTTTATTTGGGTTTCATCTTCTTTAGACAGAGTGTAACTTAATTTCTCTTTTTCTGTTTTGATGTTGTTTTTAGCATGTCCTGTAAATCCACTGGATTTCTTTAACTGAACATAATCTGAATAACTCAGCACAGAGAAAATATCCCTGCTCTCTGTCCAGATGTCTACAGGTACACTTTCATGGATATCACTGAGAAGTTGCTTCATGTCTCTTAATACATCAATGTCTCTGATTGGAAGAGTTTCTTCGGTGATCTTCTTAACACAATTTTTCCAAAAGGAATCAAACTCTTTTTTCAGATTTGTTTCATCATTGGCTTTGTCTTTGAGTTTTAAGGCGAGTTCTTTGCTCTTTTCCAAGAGGGTATTTTCATGACGTGTCCTCTGAGCATCGATCTTTTTCTTCATATCTTGCTGCTGAAGAATCTCATTTAATTTCCTCTTTGTTTCTCTCACAATGTTCTCCTGAAGCTCTTTGATTTTGATGACAAATGATGTTTTCCACTGTATAAGTGTATATTTATCTTTGTCTTTCTCAAAGAATTCTGACATTGATTTTTCTATTTCTCCACTTTTCACTTTTAGTTTTCCTTGAAGATCACTTTCTGAAACATCATCAATGGTTTCATTTTCGATGTTGTTGTAGAGTTTGTTCTCTATTTCCAGCATGGTTCTGCGAAGACTCCAAGACCACTTGCTGTATTCTGTCTCCAGTTTTCGGTATGTTGCGATTTCCAGAGCATTTCTGAAGCTGAATACAAATCGTTCATTCAGTAAAGCCTCCCAGAGATCATTAATACGATCTTTTAGGTGTGTCAGCTCTAAGCCATTTGATTTTGAGGCTTGGGTAAAAAACGTTGTCTTTAGCTCTTGGATGTTTTCACAGTATGATGGGTTTGGTGGTGCCATCGGTGGGCTTCCCTCCCAGAGCTGTCCAAAATACTTTATATCCTTCTGTATATCAAAAGTGATGACATCACTGAAACATTCTGCATCACAGACTTCATCTTTAGCAGCGAGTTTTGTCATCTCATCCAGTGTCTCCTGCAGCCGTCTCCTTCCATCCATGTTTCTCTCCCCAGCTGTGATGTCTGAAACGTTCTGATGCACAAACATACAGCTGGGATTCAGTCTGACCTTTTTCATCCTCATGAAGGCCTGAACAACGATCTGAAGAATGTCCTGCAGCTCGGATGGACTTTCTCCAAAGATATTGATCAATGTCATATTACCAAGACCAACAACAAATGTGGCCATTTCATTGTCCTGATGCCTTGTTGACCTTCCAGACAGTTCAAGTGCATGAAGTCCCTCAGTATCAACAACCAGAATATAGTCAAACTTCAGCTTTTCTTTCATCTTCATCTCCTCTGACACTCTGACCAGCTGCATGAAAGCTCCTCTGGTGCACCTGCCAGCGCTGACAGCAAACTGCAGTCCAAACATGGCGTTCAGCATAGTGGATTTCCCTGAGCTCTGAATCCCTAAAACTGACAGCACAAATACTCTCTTGTCTCCCAGTTTCTTGATGAGTTCATGTAGAACAGCAGTAACCCAGACCACAGGAACATGAGCAGCATCCCCATCCATCAACTCCAGTGGAAATCCAGAGATCATCATGTCTGCTGCGAGACTCGGGAGAGAAGAGAAATTACATGGTAGTCCTTTCTTGTTACTATTCACTGATTTACATGATTCATAGATCTGACCGATCTCCCTCAGGATGTGCTCCAAGCCAAAGGTTGCAGCTTGAAGTTCTTCTGATATCCTATCAAGTTCTGTGTGTTCATCAGTTAAATCTGTTGCTATTTGTTGCTCAGGTATGTCAATTTTCTCTTTTAGTTTTAAGACTTCTGACCACTTTTCATCATACTTATAATGTAGAGCAGAAAGGTCAGCTGAGGTATATTCATCCAGGAGGATTGCGAGCCATTTCAGAAAAAATATCTTCTCATTTGGAGACTGTGAATTAATTTCTGTTATAAAAAACTTCATGAACAATCCAAAGTCCAACACATGCTGCCGTTCACGGATTATCTTCATATCTTGTTTCTTTTTTATTTCCATGTCTATTTCATTTCTCTGAGATCGATGTAGTTCTTTGTTTTTTTCACACCACTGATGCCACAGTTTCCCCTGACAGGGCAGAAATGATTCTTTGATTTCTGTCAGATCTTTTTTCTCCAGTAAACCCATCATCTGCTGTGCTGCTTCTTTCCCTCTCTTGCAGTCATTGTCATGATCTTCATCTACTCTGATACCTGAGTGTCTGGACACATCTAAAAGTCTGAAATTAAAATATGGTTCTGACGATGAGGACAAGAGACATTTATTTATAGCTTGTATGAGTTCTTCAGATACATCTGACTGATTTCTGTCTTTTAATCCAATTTTGTATTTTCCTTTTCTTGTTTCATGTACTGTACTTTCATCCTCAGTAAAAAGACAAATGAGTGGCTTTCTGTCCTTGTACAGCTCTTGGATCTTTACTCCACTCTTGTCATTCTTGTCAAGTCGTGGTAGGATAACAACATTGACCGAAGACATTTCAGTGAGGATCTGCAGCTGTTTCTCATGGTCTCCTGCATCACCGTGAAGGTTACAGAACGCAACACATTGAGTAAAATTATCTGTGTCTTTCCCAGAGGGGCAGTACCAGGCGATCTCCACCACTCCATCCATCAGTACTCTGGTTTTGCTGCTGCCTGTGCAGTTCCTGTGGAAGAATGTGTTGTGTTTCTCATTAATCAGACTGTTCATCAGCTGAGATTTGGATGAGGACAATGAGCCAAACTTGAAGAAAGACACCATAGGTGTTTCTGCTTTCCAGACTGGCTGGATTTTAGTGATGATTTCATTGTTGGTATCTTTCATCTTCCAGCTCTTGTTGATTTGTCTGAATGTCCAGAGAGGAAACTCAATCTCTTGTGTGAATGGATCAGGAACAAGCAGAGGCAGAGCGTATTGACACTGAGACAGTTTAGTCACCATCAGCTGCTTCAGGAAACCATCAGCACAATGAAACACGGCCATCTGAACATCCATCAGGTGAATAGCATCTCTGTTTGTATGTTCATTGTTTTTTCCCTCCATTTCTCTGAAAATATCGACATCACCCTCATCTTCAGATAAATCATTGTTTATTTGTTGTCTGTCATGCTGCTTATCTATAGTTTTAATGTATCTTGCTTTGTAGTTCATCATCAATAGTTTTTGTAGGAAAGTCTGAATAAGGTCCTCCTCTGCACAAGACTCATAAGACTGTAAAGAATGGTGTGTTAGTTGAAGAACATCTGCAGCTCTTAGTTTGCAGTTATCCCTATAATCAAGACAGAGTCTTTGAAAAAGATGTTCTATTTTTTCTCTGATTCCATTTCCTATGCTTTGATTCAGTCTTGCACCATCTTCTAAACGACTGTCCAATTTTGCCTGAGAAACAAAACAGCACAAATTAAAAAAGTTTGCTGTGGTTTAGCGTATTAACTTACTTTGTAATAAAGAAGTTTTCTTGTGTAAAGGGATCTCAGAAAGTAATAAGCCATATCTCTAAGGGATTTGTAACTACTTGTTCCTCTTCTATTTTTGCACTTAACTCAACACGTACCCCAAGTCTCTTCCTTGTTTCTGTTGTTGTAGTTGATTCAAGGCTCTCCTCATTTCTTGTGGGTTGATCTTTTGACAGAAAAAATGAGAGAGAATATTATAATGGAAAAAAAATCAATGAATAAACAAAAATATAACATGTATTTTAGGCTGTAGCTCATTGGGCTTATAGAGATAGTTCACTCAAAAATGTCATAATTTACTTACACTCATGTTGTTCCAAATTTGTATAACTGTCTTTCTTCTGTAGAACACAAAGTGTGATATTTTGAAAAATAAAACAAAAAACAAAAACAAAGATTTGTTCATACGATGAAAGCCAGTTGGGTCCAATGTTGCTCTGGACCCTAATGTATATTAAAATATCTTTAGTTGTTTTCCTTAGAAGACAGTACCAACATAAGGGTGAGTAAATGACGACGGTGGTTTGTTGAAACTGTATGCAGTTGTTTCTGTTGTCTTTAAGTGTTGGTTGTTGTTCTTATTACTGATGTTATTTAAAGAGGACTTCAATAGTCCCATGACCTTTAGTGGAAGCCACACTGTGACTTTGGCAGATGAACCAACTCCAGATAAGTGACTAGCCAATTCAACTCTTCACTCTTGCAAGTATTTTACCAGTGATAAAGAGCAATGTGATTCCTTAGTAGTTGTCAATACTGGTCAAATGCCTTTCCTCTTATAGAGGCGAACAATGCATGTATCTTTCAATTACTGAGGAATGGATCTGATGAAAAGGACAGAAACAACTCCGTTAACTTGATAACCCATTCAGTGAGATTATTGGAAATCACAAGGATGCGAACGCCCTGTTCTCTCATGAGAACAAGGGCCCCCTCCGTGACTTTCGTGAAGACACGGGGGGACAAGGACAGCCCGAAGGGTAGGACTTTGTACTGATATCCTCGACCCTCGAACGCAAAGTGCAGAAACGGCCTGTGTTGAGGAAGAATCGAGACATGAAAGTTCGCATCCTTCAGGTCGATCGCTGCAAACCAATTTCGGGGACGGATGCATTCGAAAATGCGTCTCTGCGTGAGCATTTTGAATGGTAGCTTGTGGAGGCTACGATTCAAAACGTCCCGGGTTACGTATGTAACCCTAGTTCCCCGAAGGGACGGACGCTGCGTGTAATCGCAGTGGGAACGCCCCAGCGTGACGCGTCTGAAGCATGAATGAAATCAGTCAATGGAGAGAATGAGCGTACGGCGAGTGACGTCATAGACCAGGAAGCTATAAATATCCCCTGAGCACACAACACGCCAGCTTAAAAGTCACTGAAGCAGCGACCCAAGGGGATGCCGAGAGTATGGCAGGACACGCAGCGTCCGTCCCTTCGGGGAACTAGGGTTACATACGTAACCCGGGACGTTCCCCTTCAGGGACTACCGCTGCGTGTAATCGCAGTGGGAACGCAATACCCACATCCCCATTCGACCAAATCCCCGTCGTGTGTCATTAGGAGACACAAGCCGACGAGAGAACCTGAGCCCCGGGAGTGGAGCTAAGGTCAAGGGAATAAAATCTGACGAAAGTGTGCGGTGAGGACCAGCCTGCCGCATCACAAACGTCCTGAAGAGAAGCTCCTGAAAGAAGAGCTGTAGAGGCAGCCATACTCCTGGTGGAATGAGCCCTTACAGCCAAAGGTGAAGGCTGATGGGCCGAACCGTAAGCAAGCGAGATGGCCTCGACCACCCACTTGCTCATCCTTTGCTTAGATGCAGGACACCCTCTCTTAGGTGACCCAAAACAGACAAACAGTTGTTCCGATCTCCTCCACAGAGCAGCTCTGTGGACATACGCATCTAAAGCCCTAACAGGGCACAGCAAATTAAGTTTCCTCTGGTCTGACGTCAGAAAAGGCGGAGGACAGAAAGCCTGCAGAACTATAGGTCTAACCAAAGTGGTCGGCACCTTAGGAACATAACCTGGTCTCGGACAGAGAAAGGCCTTAACCATACCAGGAGCAAATTCCAGGCACGAGGGAGCCACCGAAAGTGCTTGAATATCACCAATCCTTTTTAGAGATGAAATAGCAAGAAGAAGGATAGTCTTAAGAGTAAGAAACTTTTCCGAAACTTCCTCGATGGGCTCAAAAGGAGCAAGGGAGAGACCTTCTAAGACGATGGCCAGATCCCAAGCTGGTACCCTTGTGCGAACTGCAGGCCTCAGCCTCAGGGTGCCACGAAGGAAGCGAGATATAAGTGGGTGTTTCCCGAGGGAACCTCCACTTGAAGGGGCGTGATAAGCAGCTAAGGCCGCCACATACACCTTCAGTGTGGAGTGGGATAACCCTGTGGAGAGACGGTCCTGCAGGAAATCCAGCACTGTACCAACCGGGCAGTTAACTGGGTCCTGCTGGCGCTCTCCACACCAAGAGGTGAAAAGTTTCCACCTCGCGGCATATAACTTCCTCGTGGAGGGAGCTCTGGATTGGAGGATGGTCTCAACGACCTCAGCCGAGAGACCAGAATCTATGAGCTGGGCCCCCTCAGAGGCCAAGCCCACAGCCTCCATAGCTCTGGACGGGGGTGAAGGATCGACCCACTCGCCTGAGAGAGCAGATCTCTCCTGATCGGTATCTCTAGGGGAGAACCGTCGAGGAGAGACACTAGGTCCGAAAACCATACTCGGGCCGGCCAGAACGGGGCTATAAGCAGGAGACTGAGCCCGTCCCGGCGAACCCTCTCCAGAACTCCTGGGAGCAGAGCGATCGGGGGAAAAGCGTACAGGCGTGACCTCGGCCACGGATGTACCATAGCATCCAACCCCAGTGGGGCTGGCTGGCTGAGAGAGAACCACAGTGTGATGTCTCTCGGGACGCAAATAGGTCTACCTCGGCACGACCGAAATGTCCCCATAGGAGCTCCACCACCTCGGGGTGAAGACTCCACTCCCCGGGCCTCGGCCCCTGCCTCGACAGGATGTCTGCCCCCTGATTCAAATACCCCGGGAGATAAATAGCTCTGAGAGAGAGAATTTTCCCCTGGGACCATAGAAGGATCTGACGTGCCAGTTTGTAAAGCGGGCGAGAACGCAGACCCCCCTGATGGTTGATGTAAGAGACCACCGATGTGTTGTCTGTCCGGACAAGAACATGGTGGCCTCTTAGGTCTGGGAGGAAATGTTTCAGGGCCTGAAACACTGCCAACATCTCTAGACAATTTATGTGCCATAGACGGTGATGGTCCCCCCACAGACCCTGAGCCGGGCGACCACTCATGATCGCCCCCCAACCCGTGAGAGAGGCATCTGTCGTTAGCATAACGCGACGACAAGGAGCTCCCAACACAGGGCCTTGGGACAGAAACCAAGGATCTTTCCACATAACCAGGGCGCGATGACACCGTCGCGAACTCATGATCATGCGAAGCGGATTTCCCCTCGGGGAGAATCCCTTGGTTCTGAGCCACCACTGTAACGGTCTCATGTGCAGGAGGCCAAAAGGTATCACGTTGGACGCAGCTGCCATGAGACCTAACAGTCTCTGGAACTGTTTTACAGTGGATGACCGGCCTAGCTTGACTTGATCTACTGTGGCAAGAATCGAAGCAACACGAGCAGGTGACAATTGTGCCTGCATCGTCATCGAATCCCACACTACACCGAGAAAAGTGGTTCTCTGTAATGGAGAAAGAACACTCTTCTTGGCGTTGAGTCTCAACCCCAACCTCTTGATGTGAGCCAGAACGACATCTCGATGCCGAACCGCCTGTTGTTCCGATTGAGCTAGGATTAACCAATCGTCTATATAGTTCAGAATACGGATGCCCTGCAGCCTGAGCGGAGCTATAGCTGCATCCATACACTTCGTGAACGTGCGGGGTGACAGTGCTAGGCCGAACGGAAGAACCCGATATTGGTACGCTTCGCCCCCGAAAGCGAACCTCAGGAACTTCCTGTGTTGAGGGAGGATAGATACATGGAAGTAAGCGTCCTTTAGATCTATCGTGACAAACCAGTCCTCGGATCTGATTTGTGACACGATCTGTTTGAGAGTGAGCATCTTGAACTTGAGCTTTCCTACAGTGCGATTTAAGACACGCAGATCTAGAATGGGACGCAGCCCTCCATCTTTTTTCGGAACGATGAAGTACCGGCTGTAGTATCCTAACTCCCTGCTGGGTGGAGGAACCCGTTCTATAGCCCCTTTTTGCAGCAGAGTTTTTACCTCCTGTTCTAATACCAGAGCCTGCTCGGGGCCCACCACCGTGGGCAGAACCCCTCTGAACTGAGGTGGACGCGTTCTGAACTGAATAGCGTACCCGTTCTTTATAATATTCAGGACCCACTGAGAAACATTGGGAAGCATTTCCCATTCCGCCAGGAACTCTACTAAGGGAACCAGCCTCTCGAGGCTGGCCTCTGGATGAACATCCCGAGTGACAGACACAGCGCCCTGTAACATACTGGCAGGAAACAGCTGGTCTGAACACTCCACAACCCTCCTCGGAGGGGGCGAGCGTCCCTCGGGAAATCGCTCGCCGAGTCTCTCTACGCCCTGTGTAGGCAGGGTTAGTAGAACAGACCCCTGAGGGCATCGGGAAAGACAGGGCACCGTGTTCTTGTGCGGTGAACTCAAGTCTCTCCCGATGGGGACCACCCTCAGAGTCCTGACGTTCAGCCCGTCAGGACTTTTTCGACGCGGCCTTCCTGGCGACAATGACTGTCCTCAGATCAGTCCTGCCCCGAGACGGCCGCGCCGGAGAGCGCCCCGCCTCGTCCCTCCAGTTTCCCTGCGGGGGGGCACGAGACGCGACACTCCGCTTCTGCTGTGCTCTTCTTGAAGAGGAAGAACTCGACGGCTGGGACTGCCCTTTTCGCTCAGCAGCCCCAGTGACACGTATCTTGAGAGGGATGAATTTAGAAAAAGCAGCCGCATGTTTTTTCTCTTCCTGGAACCTCTCCGTGACCGAGTGAAGAGCGTCACCGAAGAGGCCCACAGGCGAAACAGGAGCATTTAAAAGGAGAGACTTATCTTTTTCCTTCATCGATGTCTGACTCAACCATAAGTGCCTTTCTGTGGCCACCATGGCTGCCATAGATCGACCAATAGATTTAGCGGACTCTCTGGTGGCACGCAGAGTGAGATCAGCAGTTTGCCTAAGTTCGCTAATCATATCAGCCGAAATTTCACCCCCCTCAGAAACATCTTTGAGCAGGTCGGCCTGATAAGCCTGCATAATAGCCATCGTATGCAAACACGCAGCCGCCTGCCCAGCCGCCGAGTAAGCCTTCCCCACCAGCACAGAGGTATTCTTTAGTGGTCTAGATGGAAGAGCCGGCGCTTTAAGTGAAACCGAAGAAGCAGGAGAGAGATAGCTCGCGAGCGTCTCCTCCGCCTTCGGCATCGCCACATAACCAGCAGATTTAGCACCAAAAATGTTACCATAAGCATTTGACTGATTCGTGTAAATTCTGCTAGAAACCGGTCTAACCCAGGTCTTTGAAACCTCAGCATGAAGGTCTGGGAAGAACGGTAAGCACCGGCGAGACGGTTGAGGACGTGCAGACAGAAATCTATCATCTAGTTTGCTTTTAATTTTAGAATCCTGTCTATCAGCTGGCCACTCGATACTGAGCCTTTCAACAGCCCGAGATAACACATCCATCAAACCTTCTTCATTTGCAGTATAATGTGTCACACTAGAACCCTCTGATGCAAAACTTTCGACATCCAGATCCTCAGAACTGGATAATCTTAATTCAACATCATCATATGCCTCCACCTGGGCAGAAGTAACCGCCGCAGCGCGTGCTTCCGAAGCCGGGTGAGAGGCACCGGATCCCGCCGGAGAAAGCTGAGATAGGGCGGGGCCCGTCTCAACATCGCCGGTGAGATCCATCTGCGAACCCCAAGTCAAGCGCCGCCGCTCTGCCTCAACAGAAGCGGGACCCGAGCCTTGGGGAGCTCGCAGCAAACCACTCTCCTCAAAGAGCGATCGCCGCGAGCGCAGAGTTCTAAGAGGAAAGCGTTCGCAATGCTGACAGTCGACTCCCTCGAGAGCCGACTGAGCATGCTGAACACCCAAACAAGCCACACATAACTCGTGTGAATCCCCACCCGTGATGTATCGAGTACAGGGGGGAACACACTTTCTATACTGCTCGCTCATATTGGTTTTTATATATATATATATATATATAGTGATAAACTCCTGACAGAACAGACAAACACAATCGACAGATTCAGACACACGCACAGAGCTGCTGAAGTGACAAAAGCTGGCGTGTTGTGTGCTCAGGGGATATTTATAGCTTCCTGGTCTATGACGTCACTCGCCGTACGCTCATTCTCTCCATTGACTGATTTCATTCATGCTTCAGACGCGTCACGCTGGGGCGTTCCCACTGCGATTACACGCAGCGGTAGTCCCTGAAGGGGAACTCAGTTCTAAGATCGGTCGTAACCCACCACCTTTCTTGGGTACAATGAAGTTGGGACTGTAGTGCCCTGACCTCATATCGGCTGGATGAACCGGCTTTGTCGCGTCCTTTGCCAGTAGGACTGCGATCTCAATGCGCAAGACATGGGCATCGGCTGTTCTCACTGTAGTGGAGTGGATGACCCAAAACTTGGGGGACCCCGGGAGAACTGAAACGCATAGCCGAGCCAGATGGTCTGAATGAGCGAGATGGACTGGGGAGTGCTAACCAGGCTCGCAGAGACTGTACAAGCAGCACCAAAGGGACCGTAGGCGTACCTGGAGTGGGGCAGCAAGGTGAAACACAAGGACGTGGCTCGGGAGGCTCTCTCTAGGAGGCAGCCCGTAGCGGGGTCTGAGTGTGCTGTGCAACACTTACCTGGTTCCACGGAGTGCAGGCGGTGGCTTGGTTGCGTTCTAGAACCTGCTGCCCGCTGGCGATAGAAGAGGCAGATGAGAGTGGTGAGGATTCTCTCCCCCCACTGCTCTACGGGCCCTCTTCAGACCCAGAGATGAAAGAAGCCAAACCCAAATTTTTTATTGAAAATTTGGGTTTGGGTTTTTGAGGCCAGCGGCGGAACACAAACAGAAGATTTTTCCACCCGGCCCTCTACCGGGGGAAGAGCAGTGCGGTCACCGTCTCCTGGAGAGCAGTCCCATCCATCTCTGGTTCTTGGCGGGGGCCTGGGCGGGGGGGGGGATGGGCGGCTCCATGGCGCCGTTTAGGTGGAGGCTGCTGCGGTGCGGGAGCCATGGGCGTTTGGGTAAAGGCAGCAGCTGACCGCCTGCGGCAGGATGTGTTTGATGGCCTCTTTCTGCTTTTGTACAGCCGAGAACTGCTGGGCAAAGTTCGCAACCGCGTCGCCGAAGATGCGTTCCTGGACCACCAAGGTGGACATCGCACGTGCCTTGGCCTGATGGACCTGCAGCAACGCAATGGTGTGCATGGCAGAGGCAACTTCCCCACAGGCCTTGTAAGCCTCGTCAAATAGGTCCGACGGGTACCTACAGGCCAGGGAAGGAAGACACGGTTCTCCACGCCAAGTGGAGTTAGGGCACAGCTGCATTGCAGCGGCCCGCTCCACTGGCGGGACACACGTGTATCCCTTAGCTGCCCCCCATCATGGGTGGTGAGGGAGCAGGAGCCACTGAGACGGTTTCTGGTCCACGTCCCCGTGAGCTCCCCATGCACCTCAGGGAAGAAAGGCACTGGGGTGGGTTGCTGAGAACCAGCGCGCACCACCCAGAGATACCAATCGTCCAGCCTTGAGGGCTCGGGACACGGTGGAGGGTTCCACTCGAGCCCGATCCTGTTGGTGGCCCGGGAAAGCATGGCCATCATCTCTGGGTCCAATTGGGCACCGCTGGCACACCCGAAGGAGGCGTGGGCTCCGAGCCGTCGTCAACGGAGAAGTCTGACCCACCCTCCGATGCAGCAATCAACATCTGATCGTCACGGGGAGCACCAAATGAAACGACTGGTACACACCTCGATGATGGTCCAGCATGTTCCACTGGTAACTCAATTGGCTGCGGAGCATGAGAGGGATGAGGGTTCGTAGGGGGTTGGTTCCCCGAAGGAAGCGAGCTCACCATGATCCTCAGGTCACCCGCGTCACTGCCCAAAGCAACCCTCTGAGGAGGATTGGATCGAGGCAGAGGCATGGGGACTCCACCCCTTTGCAGGAATGAGAGTCTCGAACACAGCTCAGAGATGGTCATCTTCCCACAATGGGTACCTGACTCATCCACGAACGCTGCCTGAGCGTGTTCGAGGCCCAGACACACGAGGCAGTGATCGTGACCATCCCGTGACCCCAGGTAACAACCACATACAGAAACATACAGAAAGAAATTCATCTTGAAAAAGACGCGTTCTATCTGTGTAAGCTCTTTTAGGGACTGCTCTCACTGGTGCTGAAACACGCAGGGGAACAGTCACTGTGAACACAGACAGGAATGTGCAGCTGTCTGTGCGCTCTTTCTCTCTCACTGGCAGGTCTTACCAGCTGTAAAAACAGCATTTGAGCGCTCTTACCAGAGGGTACTTTTTTTCAGAGGGCCGTGAGAGAACGGCGCGAGGCCGGTGGCGTGAGTGTTAATGAACGTCACCTGTGAGACGCACCGGTCTCGCATCTCTCATGGAGGAGCGGAAGCATAAAGGGAGGAGTGACGACGCTGAAGATCGAGAGAGGAACAGGCCTGAAACTTTTGTTTTGTTTATTGTGTGCCAGCAGTCGTCCGTGAGGGGCTGCTGGCTTTTACTTTTATTTTGTATTTGTTTTATTTTTATTTAAAGTGTTGAATGTTCGCAGGTTCCAGCCTCCTTCTTCCCATAACATCTGAACTGCGGGAAGTAGAGCGCAGTCTCGTGGGTACCCCCCGGCCTGCGAGGGGCGATGGCGGTAAGTGGCGTGCAGGATGAGGCCGAGGGACGTGAGAGAACGGCGCGAGGCCAGTGGCGTGAGTGTTAAAGGGGGGGTACAATGGTGTTTCATGTATTCAGAGTTGTTTACAGTGTTAAAGAGATGGATTCTCATGCTAAACATGGCCAAAGTTTTAAAAAAATATTTTGGATGAATAACGGAGAATTTCTGTGCCGAAAATCTTACTTCCGGGTTGGTACAAGTTTCGGCTGGTTTTTTTTCCGATCGTGGATCTAATGACATAGACGAGAGTGGAACTCCTTATATGAGCATTTCTCTTGGAAAAGCGCACCCGCGCACACGTCGACCAGAAGAGAGCGAGACCACGCACATCAACGCGCTTCAACAGGAAATCATCGGCAGCACTGCATAGGATTTGTTCAAGAATGTCTCCAAAAAAGTGTGTTTTTGGATGTAAGGGAAAGCTTACCGCGTTCCGCTTCCCAAAGAGCCCAGCGTTACAGGAACAGTGGATGCAGTTTGTTTTCCGGGGCAGCAACAGAGTGTAGCAAGTGCGGTTGTGTGTTCTGGTCATTTCAGTGACAAATGTTTTATTAACAAGGGCCCAGGTTGACGCTGGATTTGCAAATCGTTTGCTATTAAAACATGGAGCGGTCCCAGTGATAAAAGACCCCATTCATGTAAGTACAACTGGATCAGATTTCTGTCTTTTGCTGGAAATCAGCACATAATGCCGCTCGACTCTATAGCTCCGCCCACGGCACGCCTCCAGGAGCTCAGCTTTTTCCGTGCTGTATTTTTCTTTTATAAATATGATAAAACTAAATACTTTTTGGTGACATGAAGGATGCACTACTACTCTATAGGTACTCAAGATTAACATGAGATTAGGTGAAACTGTGTATGTTATGTACCCTTTAATGAACGTCACCTGTGAGACACACAGCGTCGAAGAGTGACGACGCTGAAGATCGAGAGAGGAACAGGCCTGAAACTGTGTTTTGTTTTGTTTGTGTTTTATTGGGCTTTTACTTTCATTTTGTATTTGTTTTATTTTTATTTTAAAAGTGTTGAATGTTCGCCGTTCCCGCCTCCTTCTTCCCATAACATCTGAACTGCGTTACACACTGTTTATGAAATTAAACTGAAATGCCTCGATTGTAGTCTTACATTTTTTTCCGGGAACGTACATGTTAAAATATTCCTCATTTAAATAATTCCCGGTCAAGGCAAAAGGGGGACGAGGCCTGGTTGAGTTACATTAGTAGTGGTGTGTTGTCACCATGTCCAAGAGATACTGCTTTCCACCCCAGATCTAAGGCAGTCATGGTAATGCCAGGTACACACTACACAATATCTTTTGTGGAAATCGCAGACAAATGTTCGAAATCTGAGGCAAATTGGGGCAAATTCATGTGAGTGGCAATCGCATAGTGTGTATTTTTGCAAATCAGTGCACAGACAACTTGGATCACAAGCTTCTTGCAGGCTACCATTTTTAACAGGAAGAAATCCAGTCTCGTGCAAGAACTCGTGTGATCTTAAGCTATTTCCTGTATCACTTCTCACATTATGAAATGTGGTTTTAGACCAGACAGAGTTTTCTGTGATTCTTCCTATTGAAATGTGTAAAGTGTGACCCTCTGTCGCCGATCTGTCATGTAATGTGCACACAACAGCAACTAAATGACACCCCAGACATTTATGTAGTGTAAGAAGAACAGCGATCTAACGACTTTGAAAATCCTGCAGTGTGTTCCCTGCGTAAAGGGGCATGATATTTACGAAACACGCTTGAAGCAGTTGCCAAATCACAACACAATGATCCAATGATGCTGCAACAATGTAAAATATGAGAGAAATACTGTTTTTTGAACATTCAAGCATGAAAACAGACCCCAAAAACAAAAGCAAGACTTTAACAAAACAACCCATGTATACCAACATATTTGAGTCTATAATAGTATAATTGGTAAATGGAAGTGTTAAAAATCAGGGATAAATAAACATGTCAGAGATCACAACACCAACTATGTGTTCTTACCACTTTGACGTGTCCTGTTTTGCAGGTCTTCTCTCTTTCTTAACGCAGTGTTGTACATCTCTCTAGTGTAGCACTGCTGGTTATTCTCAATAAACAGATGCTCAACTCTGCTCATCAGGTCTCTCATCTCTGACTGTTTGGTCATGTTCTTGCTGCAGGTATGATATCTTCCACTGCATTTCTTCAGCAGCCGCTCCAGAGGAGAGTTTCCCTTCAGATCGTCTATTATAGAGTCAGACTCTTCCTCGCTCTCATAGGTGAAGAGAATCATCACAAACTGAAGAACTCGGTCACCAAATACTCTCTGAAGCCACTCAATACCCATCTTATCAGCATCTGTTAGCTGACCCAGTCGCACAACAAAGATGAAGGAGATTATTTTATTTTCACTCACTAGTTGACCAGTGAGGGGATCCAGGTCAAGTGCAGTCTCATGTAAGCCAATCATGTTGATCACTGAGACACGACGTCCTGATATCTTCATCTGCAAAGGAACGGTCCAGGATATTTCTACATTTCCAATATCAGCTTGTATTTCTCCAAGTAGAAAATTGTCATGTTGAAACTGGACTGCCGCAGAGTTTCCAAATAACACAATTGTCAAATTGTGTTCTAGAATAAACACAGAAGAATTGTTCTCAGATTCATTAATATGCTGAAACATACACTGTAAAACCTAACAAATGTTCTAACTAATGTTTTCTAGTTGACTTTTCTTAAATGTCTATTGGCATACTATACTTTTGTTACTCAAAAAACCCAAGTTTAAATAAATTGATTTATTTACCATTTTCTTGAGAAAAAATAATAATATTTTGGATGGGATAATCCATTTCTCCCTCTTATCTTCTGCAGTTATCATTCTCTTTAGTTGCATTCACTCATCAAGTGTCAATGCAACTTAAAATGTTGAGAGAAAATCACCGAAGTTTATAAACTGTTTTTAACAAAGTTCAGGAGGAGCACGTTCAGTTAATCAACTCAAATAACATGATAGGAGGTATATATACAGCAGACTGCCTGTAACGTGCAGGCAGGAATTAAGCGGAGAGAGAATCCAAATGCAAACACTATTTTAAAGCTGCAGTCCGTAGCTTTTCCTCTTTGTCGCCATCTCTGTTTGAAGTCTGCAATTGCAGTCATTCGCGGAATTATTAATTTTACGTGAGTTGTACATCGGCATGAAACAGCGCGGATGAACACAATGTTGTGAGGCGAGTGCGCGTCGCGGCTGTCGGTTACAGCGCCGGTGTGGATAACGTTACTGGCATTCAGAATCACACATTCTACTTTTTGGAAGTACAGGATGACCAACATAAGAATTTTCACCGGAAATTGTCCTCTGAACAAGTAAGTAACATTCACTTTTGTTCAGATCAACTAAGGGGAAAAATGCATTGCACTGTCTGCAGTAAATCGCGCTGATTAAATCTAACGATCGCTTATCATGTCGAACCGTGCAAATTATAGGCCTAGTTTGTTCTCAAATTGTTAATGTTAACAACATCAGCATTGCGTGATTTAATGTGTTTTATGGTTACCTGTAGTTCAGAATTCATATTCTCCATAATAGCTAAACGAGAAAGGCACAACAAAGGAAACTCCATAACTGTGTGAATTAAGTAAACAATTGTGGTACTGTTACACGATTGAACTATTGAAATGTCTTGTCCAGCAGAAAAAAGCGTCTCTTCTTCCGTTTTGAACCCCTTCACGCACTTTTCAAAAGCCCTGCCGATGTTTATCCTTGTGTTCACATGAGACGGTTGCTGTCTTTCTCTAGCCACTTTAAATCCGAAGTACGAAGTCTTTTGGGTTTTATAACTGGTGAATCTCCAGTTAACACTGATGATTGTCGTTTGGATCTTTCTGGATCCGCCATAAGTTAAATTATGTAAAGTGCTGCGAGAAAAGGCTATACATCTCTACATCTCCACTCCACACCGTCAACGTCCTCACGCGCAGTATAGCCGGCTAGCCGAAACTCCTTCTTTATGTGTGCAGATGTGACGTAATGACGCAAAGACATGCTCGAATTTCCCGCGGAAACCCACCAGTACCACTGGAATTAAAATCATTATTACAAGCTAACCGTTTTGAATCGAGCTACGGCAACCAGATAGGTTTGAACACTGGCTGAATATGTTTTTTTTTTAAATAATTATTTTGGATTGTTTTTAACTTGAAAAAAGTTACAGACTGCAGCTTTAATGAAACAGGTAATCCAGGGCAAAAAACAGAACAAGGAACTCTTCTTCTTTTTCTTTGGCTGCTTAACGGCGGATGCGGACTAACTTAGCGCACTACCGCCACCCTCCAGATAAATTGTGCTTGATCATCACTATGGCTTACAGGAAAAATAAAAAAAACTACACTCTGTCAATGAGTCCAGTGTTCTTTAAAAATTCAAACATATATTTTATTACACTATGATCGGAAGCCTTAGACAAAATATCTCTAAAGTTAAACCTTTCCCCACTGCCCTCTATTTTCCTTTTAATTAAAACCCTTTCTCTATTAAATTTCCTACACATCATAAAGACATGTTCCACTGTTTCTGGCACATTTCAAATCTCGCAATTTCCTGATTTATGCTTTCCTATTAGCTGTAATGTTTTGTTTAGACCAGTGTGCCCTACTCTCATTCTTGTAAAAATTCCCTCTTCTCTTCGACACCTTATTAGAACAAGGAACTCAGGACAAGAAGGAACTCATGAACAGCTGCAAGCAACAACGACCGACAAACCACAACTGATACACAGAGGTATAAATACACAAGCAGACAGGCTAAACAAGATAACAAGGGGGCGTGGTTAATCCGAGACACCTGGGGAGACTAATAAACGAGACAAGGAACACATGTTGACACTGAGCAAACAATTAACAAATGACAAGACGCATGGCAGGATCACATGACAAACAGGGAATCACGTGACAGACAAGAACAAGGAACAAGACACAAAACCCACACCGTGACACTTACCTCTGTCCCACAAGAGTTTTCCAGCATCCCTCCACCACCCCATCTCCTCAATCCTATCTATTCCTATTCCAGCCTGGGATGGGTAGTACCCTATAGGTTCAGGCCAAATTCCAAACTCGGAGCCCTCCCCTCGGACAGCACGCCAAATAAATACGCATAACCTTTTCTCGATCTCAGTGATACTCAAATGGCGGAGTCATATGTCTGGACCCATATTTTAAACAGCAATAGAGCATTAACCTTTCCGCCACTCACTAAATATTTTAATTAAGAACGTAATGTTGCCAGATTCACGTTCATCTGTTTAGGATAAAAGTTTTCCATTGAAATGGGCTGCAAAAATCAGAAGTTGTTTTCTTACCCATACTGCTGAGCGAAGGATCAGAGTCAGATAGTTCAGGTGATTCGCTCAAGTTTGGAGATGCTCCTTTTTTCTACAGGGTGTTCATTATCCTGAAAAAGATATTGTAAATTTACTGTTATGTTTTTTTCTTTCTTTTCTCTTTAGTCTTTAAATGTGCAAAATATTTCTCTTTAGAGTCTAATTTCTAGACAACTCACTTCATATTTAGCTTGTTCACCATCGGAGGGATGTAGGAGTTATGAACCTCAGAGACTTGAACTCTTCCTGTTTACAGTGAGTGCAAATATAGGTGTAGATCCAGTCGAACAGGATTTGCAGTTTATACAAAACATCTGATGTCTAGTTAATCACATGGTATTTTTTCTAAAAATATCTGACCAAGCATGTGTTATTTAAATCCCACGTCCATGTAACTTGTAATTTATAATAATAATAATAATAATTCATTACATTTATATAGCGCTTTTCTAGGCACTCAAAGCGCTTCACATGGAAGGGGGAATCTCCTCAACCACCACCAATGTGCAGCATCCACTTGGATGATGCGACGGCAGCCATATTGCGCCAGAACGCTCACCACACACCAGCTTATTGGTGGAGAGGAGACAGAGTGATGAAGCCAATCAGTGTATATATATATATGGGGATGATTAGGAGGCCATGATGGACAGAGGCCACTGGGCAAATTTGGCCAGGATGCCGGGGTTACACCCCTACTCTTTCGAAAGACATCCTGGGATTTTTAATGACCACAGAGAGTCAGGACCTCGGTTTAACGTCTCATCCGAAGGACGGTGCTCTTTGACAGTATAGTGTCCCCGTCACTACACTGGGGCGTTAGGACCCACACAGACCACAGGGTGAGCACCCCCTGCTGGCCTCACTAACACCTCTTCCAGCAGCAACCTGGTTTTCTCAGAAGGTCTCCCATCCAGGTACTAACCAGGCTCAGCCCTGCTTAGCTTCAGTGGGCAACCAGTCTTGGGCTACAGGGTGATATGGCTGCTGGCATTTATTAATACAAGCAATAAGTAAAATGGTCTATAAATGTCTGTAGTCTAAAAAAATAAAAATAATCCAGTGGCCTTTCAAGAGCAGGACTTGACACACCTGTAGCAGGTCACCTGGGTACTTTTTATTTTTTTATGAATACTGTGAATTCCTACTGCACATTTCACATAAAGAAGACATTGTGAAGCAGGGTGTAGCCTATATGTGTCACATGACATAAGAAAGTGAAAATGTTTGTTCTCTTTTGTGATCATACAATCAGTCTCATTCACTAATCACTGCATAACTAAAAAAAACGTTTTAAACAAATCACCCACGTTTTTTGGGATTTATAATAGAATTAGGCTACGTTGTGAAAAATGGTCTGTAGTTTTGGTTAGGCTATGTCCTAGATAAAAAGTTAAAATTCTACTGTCTTTAACCAATAAAGTTTACAATGTTTAAATATTTTTAAATGAAGAGAGTTGATGTTGGTTCTTGTGGACTGGTTAATTTTAACATTGCGGTAATTCACCTTCAGAAATGTAATTAAAAAAAAGGTACAATTCTAAAGTACTATTATTTACTGTTTATAGTGTAAAGCATTGTATAAACACCAAGAATAAGAAATATATTAGTTTTTTTTACCGTCTCCGTGTTGAAATAGTCTCTTCAGCTGGCCGATGAATGTACTAAAGCCGAATGAAGCGCATGCGCAGAACTCAGATTCATTTTTTCATGTTTTAACAAGCTTCTTGTTTTCTCACTCCTAGTCCTCTAGCCCGCGTGAACCAGAGGAAGCTTTACATTTCCTTAAAATGCCATTCTTGCATACTGTCAGATCATATAGGTAAATGGTAATGAAAATGTGCTCATGATGGTTATTTTCTATAATCAAAGGACTCCCAAATGAACCAGACCCTGTTTTTAGTTATTAATCATGGTTAACACATGCTATCATTAATGTGTTAACAACCAAACATAGATGAAAGCACTCTTAAAAATGTCTTATTGTAAAACAGTTCACTAAAGTTTCCAAAGCAGATGAAATTGCATGGGATGAATACTCACATTTGAAGCCAGTCTCATCCCAAGACGTCATGACTGACGCTTTTGACCATACGTCAACATCCGACGTTTTAGGGTACCCTTTAAAGTCAGTTAGATGACGCTATCTAATCCTAACCCTACCCCAGACCTAAACCTACCCGCGTCATCTAACTGACGCTAAAGGTAAAGCGTCAGTTAGATGACGCCCTAGGATCGTCATCTAACTGACGTTAAAGGGTTAGTTCGCCCATTTAAGACATGAAGTTGTATGCAATCC